CGCTCGACCTCCTGGCGCCAGTGCATGTGGATACGCTGGAGGATGCTCCGTGATCCGGTTGTTATCCCTCCTGCAACAGTTAGGTTAGCTTATGTTAGACCCTAAACCTAACCAAAACCTAACCACAAATTTTCGCACAGGCTATAGGCTTAGGTAGGGTCTTACGTAATAGGGTTAGGGTTAGGGTTAGGTCGCATAGACCTAGTGCTTAGGTTAGGTTTAGGGTCTTACTAACCCACACGCTTTACCTAATAGGGTTAGTTACTGTAATTAATAACTGTGATAAATAGTTATATTTCTAGGAGTATAGCCTATTAATACCTGCTTACGTAAGACCCTAGTTAAGCACTAGGTCTGTGCGACCCAAACCTAACCTAACCACTAGGTCTGAGCGACCTAAACCTAACCTAACCACTAGGTCTAAGCAACCTAAACCTAATCTAAGCCTATGGCCCGTGCGACCTAAACCTACCCTAGTACTATAGCTAGTTTACACTAACCTAGATTTACTAGCCTATATTAACCTAACTGCTAATATCAAGGTTAAACTATTAGTGGCTACGATAGGCGAGGTAAGGGGAAACGTTATTCGTCTAGGTTGCAATAAGAAAAGCGTCCTAGTTATAAGCCTTACCTTACCTAAATTAGTTAATATCGCAATACAATATCTCATCAATATCCCACCATATATATTAACTTATCGGGGTAGGGTAACAGTGTTTACTTTTGCCCCATTCTTGGTTTGCGACAGTTATGAGCCCGGTTAGCGCAGTGGTATTATCACCACATTTTAATGCGCATTGGTAGAGCGTGGTTAAAAAAATCATAGAGGACGTGGGTTTAAATCGCGGTGTTAGAATACTATAATTTAAGAGGTCCTAATTAGTAAGCCTCTAGAGGCGCCTAGCTATACTGCTTAACAGGGTTAATATTTCTCCTGGATTAACGCCACAATACTACTTGACAACAACCACGACAAAGATTGCGCTTCTTTAGCCAAGCATCTAGTCCCCTACTTAACTAGGGGGTATATTGCAATATAATATCTTATTAATATCCTACTATATATATTAACTTATTAGGGTGGGGTAATAGTGTTTACTTTTGCCCTATTCTCGGTTTGCGACAGTTAATATCCTGTAGCTAGTAAATTAGTACTGCAGGGGATGCCACCTAGTAGCCCGCGACTAGCATAAATAGTATTAGTGTATAGTATTAGTAGATATTAGGTTATCTATACCTAGTTACGTGGTGTTAGAGAGTTTTTTACTATAGTAACTAGGTAATAGCTATAACCTAACATCCTATATTAACTAAAATTTATTAAAACACACCTAATTATTATACTTTTTATCTTGTAGAAATATTACTTACTATGGAAATTTAGATTACTAAGGTTAGGAATAATTTAGGAGATAGATTATTAGATTATATCTACTACGATTAGACTTATATATATAGAGCTTTAGCTACCCTTACTAGAAGGTGAATAATTAGTAAACCTTCCTTACTAGAGCTCCTGCTTTTTATTAGGCACTTAGTAGTAAGCTAGCAGTTAATTAGATAGTGGGTTATATAGGGGTATTAATTGGGATTAATTAAATTAAGATGCTCTGTGATCTAGTTAATATCCCTCCTGCAACACTTACTTAATCTATATTACTAACTACCTTAGATAACTCTTAGGTGTCCTCTAAGGCTATATATAAGATTATTATAGAGCCCTATACTAGTAGTATAGCTAATATACTAAGTTATAGCAAGGTAATCCTTTTCCTTTACTAGTATATCCTTTGCTAGTACTTATAGATCTTAGTAAAAATAATCCTTTACTACTAACCTTACTATTCTACTTACTATCTAATTTGCTACTAGTTTTAGAATCACTTTTAGTATAAATTTTAGGGTAGGTGTTAGCGTGTTAATTAGTCTAGTAGTTATCGTTGCTCGCGATATAACTAGGAGGCATACTAGTTTTTATCGCAAACTAAGAATAGGGCAAAAGTAAGACGTTCAGGGTTTTATCCTAGGTGGCAGCCTAGAGAGCGTGTGTCT